AATCAACTCTTTCATACATTCTGATTTGTCCACAACAGAATTAACAACAGATTTTACAAGAGATCAAATAGACGAAATAATTAGAGAATTTTGATTAAGGTAAAAAGTCTTTATGCCTTTAGTTTCTTCCCGAGGCCGCTGTCTCGTCATTTACATTTTCACCCGAGAGTTCCTCAAGAGACTTGCCTTTGGATTCTGGCACTAAAAACGTCATGATCATACCAACAAAGTTGATAACACCAAGCATGATCAACGAGTTCTTGACACCTATACCCGGTGGATATCCTGCGTCCGTCTTGGTCTTATCTTTTGACTGAGCCGCGTATAGGAATCCAAACGCACCCACAATGGCTCCTTCCTTTCCTGCCGCGGCTGATATTCCATGGCAAGTGGATCTCAACCTGGCCGGGAAAATCTCGGCAGGAACAACAAATGTAGTTGCATTTGGACCGAAGTTTGCAAAGAAGAAAGTTAAGGAGTAAATAATGACGAATCCAATGCGGTTGTCTGGTTTGATCCAGTGGTCGTAAGGGAAAGCTATAGCGAACATAAACACGGTCATGAAAAAGAATCCCATTAGCTGGATCGCGAATCTTCCCATGATATCAATAAACGTAACCGTGAACCAGTAGCCTGGGACAGTACTACACAGCGCGATGAGGGTCTGAGCCCTACCGATCTTGTAAACCTCGTGGACGGCATTCATCGTAGCCGCCTTTGGGATCCATCCGATCGCGGAAAATATATATCTTTTTGAAATAAGTTTTGGCTATAAAAACGCAATGTCAAGTAAAAACCAAGTGGAAGTAGTTCCAAGGAGAGGAAGTCCATGGCGTCTAAGGAATTTCTTGGAGAACAATCCATTATCTCTATAAGGTAAGCGAATGATGTAACTGATAAAGAAGAATCCAATTCTATGTACTAATTCCTTTTGGGTTACAAAAATCCAGCATCATCGAAAGCCAAATTAATCACAATTAGGCCAACCAACCAAAATTCAATGCATGCCAAGCAAGGAAGACGGGAAGGAAAAT